GCAACAGACTGGAGCCCGGACGGACAGCGGGTAGCGAGTGGCGGGAAGGATAAGTGTTTGCGGATGTGAGTAACCTGTTGTCTGTCCATAGAGGTTGTCACAGCCCCTCCACGTGTCCTTCAGAGCAGCAGTGTCCTTGCAGAGACCTACACGGTTAGGGAATGGTATCTCCTTGCACAGAGCACAGCTCTGAGCCAAATTCCAGCCTGGAGACTTGATGTCCCTCAGGGCAGGAACTGCTGCTGTCCCCTGGGAGATGACTAGAAAGCAGAGTCCCTCCAACTGAGCGGTCAGTGGTGAAATTGGACTCAGATGTTTTGGCTCCCGGAGAGAGGAAGGAACAGTTGTACCAGTTGGTCAGACCCTTCCTTTCTCACCTTCCTCCATCTCCCAGTTATGCAGACAGACAAATTCCTGTGAGCTGGTTGCCGTTTGACCATGGCTGGTGAAGGAACTGGTCCCCAGGCCCTGCTGTGCTGTGTGGCAGTGCTGGTGCCGGACCACAGGGATGCAGCAGCTCTTTCTGTTTGCAGATGGCGTCGATAGGAACAGTGACACGAAGCCACCGGTCCCGTCCTAAGCTGGCCTGCCCTCGGCACAGTCTGCCCAGGAGATCTGCAAGGTGATGGACGATGGAGGCTGAGCCGAGCACGACTCCTGTGTTCCTGTTGGCTGCTCTCCCTCATGGACTCTTCCCTTATATTTATTTAAGGAAATTTTAATTCTAGTTCTTATTAAGAGCTGTGCTTTGCGGGATGATTTTCTCTGAACATTACAGGAGGGATATCTTGGCTGCCTCCATCCCAACTGGCTTTTTATTGACATTTCAGCCTTACAGTGGCCTGCCCTTTGAAAGGGGTGAGCGAAGGGTGGGGACAGCTCATGCCCTTCCTTCTGTGTGAAGAATCCTGCAGAAAAAAGGCTTTTAGTGGCAACAGAAAGGGTTGTCCTTGTGTGACCTTCGGAGAGGGAGAGAGGAAGGGGAAGGTTCAGCACATCATTACATTGCAGAATTGTGCTCAGCTGCATGCCTGGGACAAAGATCTGCTGAGAATAAGGTCTTGGGGCTTCTCGTTATTCCAGTAAGGTTTTGCCTTTCCACTCAGCTCATTTCCCTGTGGGCTGTGCTGAGCGTTATCTGTTAGTGATCCTCCGCATCCACAGCAGATAATCATTCACTCATCCATTCAGGGTGCAACAGGCACGGACTTCAAACGACTGCTAGAGCTGTGCTGAGTTTACAGGTCTCAGTGGCTCTTGGAAATGGGGAAATAAAGCACTTGTGCCTCTGAACAGGGGAGAGAGCGCCTGTGCCACATCCACCGCCGGCTCGGGGGGAAGGAAGGGCTGGGGAAGGGGAGGAATGCAGCAGATGTTTTGGGTGGTGTTTGTCCCTTGCCCTGGATACGTGCTGACAGCAGGGCTGAGACTGCTGCAGTCAATGGCAAAACTTCCATTGCACAGAGTTGGCTCCTTCTGGAATTTCTCAAGTGCATTTACTTGCCCAGTGGGTGAGAGGGATTCACACAATCAGTTAGGTATTTGTGAGCTTGCTACGAGCCTTTTTATAAGTCAGTTCAGGCTTCCAGCAATCATGAGGCAAATAGACCTGGTTTTAGTATTTATTTCCAGGATGGTTAGAAAACAGTGAAAATCCAGATGTGATTAATAAGGAACAGAGGTTATATTACAGAATCACAGAGTGTTAGGGATTGGAAGGGACCTCCAAAGATCATCTAGTCCAATCCAGTATTGTCAGATTTAGTTGCAGCAGCTAGCATGGCCAGAACTTTCTCCGTAGCCCTCATACTGCAGTTGCTACTCAGTGCTTACCACAACTCAGAACAGGAGTTTGGTTCTCAGGTGCTTCCCAGCTGCAGAAGATGCATTTTTGGACTTTATTCCT